CCGGTGCGCACGTCAACCGCCACTCCCGACACAGCCTATACTTCTGGCGCCGACCGATGTCTCACATCTGTGTCTTCACGCGATACGACTTATACGGATCGCTGGTTCTGGTCTTCCTCTCGACTCAGATTGTGTTGCAAAGGATGGCAGCCGTTGACGACTTCAAAGCCATCGAGGGTTCGGTATTCGCGAAGACTATCATCAAATACAAGACAAACGCCACCGACTGTTGGAGCGATTTGTGTGACGACCTGACCGGCCATCAGGCACTAAAAGGAATTCACGACTTTCAGTATAATCAGCGCTGTTGTGGTTGGAGTGGAGCAGAAGACTGGCTGTCAGCTACCGGTGCCCGCAATAAATCAAACGACACATCACTGCCGATGTCGTGTTGCGACAACTATGCGGTCAACTGTTCCCTCGATAGCAGCACTCGATTCCCAATCGGTTGCCACGAGTTTGAGATACCGGTGCGAGGAGTCATAGATCCGACCCGTTATTCCGATCGCTGTTTCGGCGCCTACCCTCTCTTCAAACTGTTTGCTGTCATTAGCTATCAGTTTAGTTTCAAACGGTTGTTCAACGGGAATGCCGTCCTATTGACGACCGATATATCCCTTCCCACGAGCGCCCGATTCCTATAATATTTATTCTCAAAATTTATTCATTTGTTTTACAAAAACCATTCATTTTGTTATTTAAATTTTTAGTAATGTTTTAAATTTTCTATTTATTTATTTAGATTATACTTTTAATGTGCAAAACTTGTGCTCAATTTAATTTCTTTTTATTTATTAACAACACTTTTAAAATGTTTTTATTCTTACAATAAAAAGTAATTATATTTTTAATGAACATTTGGTGATAGGGGTTTATTATGAAATGTATTCCGTATAGTTAATAAATAGCCATTTATTGTCCCAAAACCAGAGCCAATCCGGCAAATGTCAGGAATGATAATCCGCCGATAAGTGTCACTAATAATACAAATAATCACAAATTGAATTGAATTAATGAGATAATTATAATATGAAATCTTAATACCCATTCGGATGGATATGATTTGTGCCAAAATACTGCCGCCCAATACAGCGATAGCCGTACAGACACTGTAACCAAATAATGAGCCAACGATTACACCGATTGGATCCTATGTTTCACATGTATTCATTAATTAATGTTTATTTT